GCACCACTTCTGGCTTTTTTCTTTTTGCTTATGTGGTGCTGAGGAATCGAACCCAGGGCCTCATGCATGCAAGGCAAGCGCTGTACCACTGAGCCTCCTTCCCAGCTCTCTAATAAACTATTGAAAAGCCAGAACTGGAGCTGTGGCTCAAGTAGTAGAGTACTAGCTTTCAGCTAAAAAGCTCAGAGACAGCAACCACGTCCTGAGTTCAAACCCTAGTACCAGAACAACAACAAAAAAGTAAGCAAATATGTTTTAGGTTATTTAAATGCCTCAGAAAAAATGAAGTGCAGTAAAGGGGCTAAGAATTATGTAACTAGGGCCTTAAGGAAAGCCTCTCTGAGGCAAGGGCATTGAATAATGCCTTAGCAAGTAAAGTAGCAAGACTTGGAGCTATCTGGGAGAATAGAATTCCAGGCACCAGAAGCAGCAATGAACAGATGAATACAACTATTCATGGTGTAAAGGTTGAAAACTGAGGTTCCTTTAAGCATTTTGCAAATGAGTCAAGCAAGACTAGAGTAAGGCAGAGAGAAATAGGATAAACATAAGAAATCAGAGAGAAACTGATACATAGCCTGGCAAAGATTTTAGATTTTTTCTGAGTAGAAAGTTCTGCATAAGATAGGTTCTGCTTTAAAACAACTACTCTGAGCCAGGCACCAGTGGCTCATACCTATAATCCTAGCTTCTCAAGAAGCTGAGATCTGAAGCTGCTAAGATGGCGGACGGCAGCGGTCGAGTCGCCAAGAGCGGGGGGAGTGGAGCGGGGAAGGGGGCCGTGCGGAACAGGTAATTGCTGGCTTCAATCGCCTTCGGCAAGAGCAACGGGGCCTGGCTTCCAAAGCAGCTGAGCTAGAGATGGAGCTGAATGAGCACAGCCTAGTGATTGATACACTGAAAGAAGTCGATGAAACTCGAAAGTGCTTCCGTACGGTTGGAGGTGTGCTGGTAGAGCGGACTGTCAAAGAGGTGCTGCCTGCCTTGGAGAATAACAAGGAACAGATACAGAAGATCATTGAGACATTGTCACAGCAACTTCAGGCAAAGGGAAAAGAACTAAATGAATTCCGGGAAAAGCACAACATTCGTCTTATG